GAGTTTCTTTGATTATTGACCAATCAGAATGTCTGATTTGTTTCTTTCTTTGCACTGAATTAACCCTCTTCTGCACGGAATTAACTCTCTTCTGCACTGAATTACCCGAAAACTGCATTTTTTATAACCAATCAAACCTGAGTAATTTTTCCATGTATATTATTACAGGCCAAATTTCATTCAAATATGTCGATTCTTCAATTGTCATGCCTTCACCTGAGATGTATGTCAACATGACATGCCGCCAGAAGCAATTCCAATGGTGTGACAGTCACATTCTCCTAATTATAAAGTTCACCTGGCGATCGGAATGGGAAAATAAGCAGACGAAAAATACGGTTGAGTTTCATTATACGTGTTTTCTTCGAGTTGCACGTTTGAAGGTTGATCAAACCAAACAACACCCAAGACACTGTCGAACTAGCTTTCCCTTTTGCGTTCATTTTTTCGCTGCGCAAGGACTTTTCTCTATTCTTTAGAACTCGTTTCATGATCTCAGTGTAGTCAACTTTAAGTAAAGACAATTGAAGAGCCACCTAGCGAAATCGCATGTAACCAAAAGAAATGCTTATGAGTTCTCAGAATAAGAGCTCCCTGCACGAGCCATTTCGCGCGGAAAGTTCGCCCGGGAGTCAAGGCACTGTGAGGAATATGGCACCTATCCATATTTTATTAACTTTTATATAAAAATTTAATATAAAACCCCTTTTTTCGAAATATCTCGTGCGCGTTTTAAGATTTTGCTTTCCTTTTTTGGTAATGTTAGATTTTCAGTTTCAGTGGGGAGACAAATTTTCGACAAAAAGTAGCCCTCTGAAGGTATAGTGTACCCTACTGATCCACTGATCCATCGATCTACTGATCTAGCGATCCATCGATCTACTGATCTACTGATCCACTGATCCATCGATCTACCGATCCATCGATCTACTGATCTACCGATCCATCGATCTACTGATCTACCGATCCATCGATCTACTGATCTACCGATCCATCGATCTACTGATCCATCGATCTACCGATCCATCGACCTACTGATCCATCGATCTACCGATCTAGCGATCCATCGATCTAGTGATCCATTGATCTAGTGATCCATACTGATCTTCCGTCGATCCATTGATCTACTGATCCATTCATTAGCGATCAAGCCCTGGCTGTCATAGATGCTGTGACGTCAGTTGTGAGGTTTTTACACCGAGGATAACCCGTATTTTACTCGTTGGTAATTTTATTCCTAAATTCGTTATTTATTTTTAATTGAAAAATCACGGGATTTGAGGACAGACACCACCAAGGCAAACACAACATCGACGTAAAAATTACCAGTCAACGGAACGTGCACTTATGATGTGTAATTAAGTTAAGGTTGGCTGGTCATCTAAACAGGAAAACTATCTTTTTTTATTAAAACAAACATTGCTTTTTCATAACGGCTTTTCGCGGTTAACTTTCAATTAAATCTGCAAAGGAAAAAAAATCAAGACAAGTAAATTTAATTATGTCGCAATTCAAAATTAGTTTGTCATAAGATGAAAACGCACAGTCTAAAATGAAACAACTCCCAAAGAGAGACAGAACCAAATAAAAAAAAGGAAAGATTTTGCCTTCAGATAACAAAAGTCCAAATAGGACTGACTACCCAAGAGAGACAGAACCAGGTGAAAAAAAAGGGAAAGGTTCTGCCTTCAGATAACAACAGCCCAAATAGGACTGACTACCCAAGAGAGACAGAACCAGGTGAAAAAAAAGGAAAGGTTCTGCCTTCAGATAACAACAGCCCAAATAGGACTGACTACCCAAGAGAGACAGAACCAGGTGAAAAAAAGGGAAAGGTTCTGCCTTCAGATAACAACAGCCCAAATAGGACTGACTACCCAAGAGAGACAGAACCAGGTGAAAAAAAAAGGAAAGGTTCTGCCTTCAGATAACAACAGCCCAAATAGGACTGACTACCCAAGAGAGACAGAACCAGGTGAAAAAAAGGGAAAGGTTCTGCCTTCAGATAACAACAGCCCAAACAGGACTGACTACCCAAGAGAGACAGAACCGGGTGAAAAAAAGGGAAAGGTTCTGCCTTCAGATAACAACAGCCCAAACAGGACTGACTACCCAAGAGAGACAGAACCGGGTGAAAAAAGGGAAAGGTTCTGCCTTCAGATAAGAACAGCTCACATACGAATGACAAAACCGGGAAAAAAATTCAAAAATGAAGGTTCTTCCCTCACGGAGATAAGTCTGATTACACGAGAGAGTGGGTAAGAAATAACAAAAGAACGAGAGTATCTTCAGGATTCTGCTTTCGAAACTGCGAAATAGTACAGTACGATTAGTAAGAAAACACACTAACCTGCCAAGAGCGCGTCATCTTATAGGGAAGGAATATTTGAGCTGTGATGTCAGGGTTCATTCCATAATTAGGTTTCAACAGTTGGATAATACACTATGTGATTTTAAGCATCTGTCACCTAACTATCACAGAAATAATTCCTTCTCTTGCTTCGAAAGCACAGAAGTAAAGGTAAACCTTGCTTTGCTGATTAAATGGTTTGGGCATCATCATTTTCCGCTCAAAGGTTATTAAGCAGCGAGATTTATCGCGCGTCATCATATAGCTTTAGACAGAAATTATCAGGCATACAACCTTGTCTAAAAGCCAAATTGGACAGGCCAGCGAGTAGAATTTCTTCCTCGCGAAGTTTTACACAGTTAAGACCTTACCTTAAGGAAAGAACGATGGCCCCTTTTCGCAGATACCGCCGAATATACTCGTACCTTCGCATAGAATTTTCGCGGGACAAGTTCCCGCGCTTACCTGATGATTGGGACTTACTAAAATGATATTTTATACTGAAAGAGCTCCTCAGTATGGACGCCAGAAAATTATTATCAAAATATCTACCCAATCGTTTCAAGTGTTAAATGATACTCTTGTATCTCCAGAACATACTGCAGTCGAAATCTTTCTTGAAAACAAGGTCCTTACCGAGCGGCTCACCGGCTTCTATCTTGACTTAGGGTCAAAGGTCTGATCAGAGTGAAATATAAGTTGGCTAACACAATTTAATTTTGGTATTGTCGTGACAGAACAGATAATCGCTCTTTGCGTCACAAACCTGTAGATCACGAACAAAACATGCTGGGTACAATAACTGTTACTTGATAGTCATGTCACGCGCTACAACCAGGCTATCTTCAAATGCCATGACACACTACGGCTTAGCTAAGCCGTTCTTGTCGCTGAATCATTCTACAATTATGAAAATTGCCATTCACGCCAAGAATGCGTAGTTATCTCCAAAGAGAAAATTGTGCAAAAGAGTCCTAAATTTACGTAGTACTCCTAACGCGCAAGCCGCGCGGATCCTCGCGCCTGTTTACATTTTAATTGTTAACTTCAATTAATTTCACGCTTGTAGCCAAACACCTCGCTTTCACTTGCTAATTGAGCCCTCTCGCTTTACTTTGACAAGTCTATGGATCATTTTACGCATCCCTGGTGAGAATTCTTTTCTTGAGCAAAGCTCGTCATGAGATGAACAAAGTGTTCATAAGTATCGAAGACATTCCATTTTACATAAAGCGAATTTCATACATGTACAACAACAACAGAAGGTTGGTTATATTTAAAGCTATGTCTAATTTGCATGAACTAAACAAGCTTTCTCCCTTCAACCGTTTTTACGAACTGAATAAGGAAATCTCTTTACTTTCTGAAGATGGGGGATCTTTTTCATTCTTTTTTCTTTCGGTTATACTCAAGAGCAAGAGGAAAAGTAAGGGTTACAGGACAAGTTCAGCGAAATAAGTGTTAAATTTTACCGCACACGTGGTTGTAAATCAACGTGGAATTCTTATTGAGCTCAAGAATTCCACACTGAATCTTGTAAGGATCTTCTCGGAAAACAGAGCTGCTTTGTGAAGATCATACAACAAAATAGATCGGAATAAATTAACCTCACCTTGCCTGAGTGTGCTTTGTTGTTATTGTGATGTAAAGGAAACAGCGCAGCCCAGCCATTTTGAATTTTTGTCTCGTCCTACGGTCTGGAACCTACTCAAGCCTCGTTATCGTCCTCGAGGAGTACTCGAAAACCCGAGGAAATTCCGAGTTTACATCGAGTCGCCTACTCAAGCACTAAGAATCGGTGGTCACATTATATTTTGTATGCCTTTCTCTATCACAAAACACTCTCTCTTATTTTGACGGACAAGATACGTGATTAAAAATCTGCTTTAAGTGGACCGCGGCCGTTCAAGTAAAAAAGAACCCTGTGCTTAGGATAAGTTAGGCGATTTCCCATCGTAAATTGGAAATCAGCTGTGGTGTAGACATCCCCACTCACAAACTCTCACTTCACTAAAATGAATAGACACATACAATAAAATATATAAACCCATAGAAAATAAAGTACATTTTTCCCTAACCGCCTTACGAGCTTGCTATCTCGGAAAAAGCATAATCATCTATTGTTGTCATGATGGACTGAGGAAGTACGGTGCCAATTTCTTCTGTTTCTTGCTCTCTCTCGGGAGTGTGCTTTTGTTTCGGCCGGTACCAATTAAACTCTCGCTTAAAATATGCCAATTGCAGACAAGAAGTCTTTACGACAAAAGAACGAACAAACAATCAAATTTTAATATGACTATTGTCCTGACAAATGATCTGAAATTCGTTATTATAACTTCAAAAGTGCCCTATGCTCTTGGTAGTTTTCATAGCCTGTAGTATATTTCTAGAGGATAAACATATCGGTGGAACGACAAAACTTGTGAATGATGCAAGATAGAAGCAGTTCGGTTTCCAAAAAAGAGCTCAAATATTTCATAAAAGAAATCAACCGTTTACCAAAACAATATTGATTGGAGCCTGAAGGTAAATATGAGCTAATTGCATTAACGGGGCGAATTATAAACAGGTTTTTTTGTAAATAATGAGGAACAAATGATACGTAAACCAAGAACATTTGCACATTTAGAATACAAACAACAATAGCACATTCTCGGAAGTTAACGAATTTATTTCGTTTCTTAAGGCGTACATGTCAATTTAAATCAAATGAAGCGGTATTTTTTACCTCACCCGCATGAGCTTGAAATCAAGGTTAATTAAGAGACTACGGTCACGTGACTAGCACGCGACTGAGAACAACGTATTTTACTAGCGTTTTCTAATGGTAACCTCGATTACAAGCCACAATTAGTTGCATTTCATGGGTGATGTGAAAATGCGAAGTTTCTTTTTATAACAAAGAAACGTGCAGTTTCGTACACTGCAAATAAATAGATCTCCAGCAATAGTCGTTGGGCTACAAAGCACAAATATAAGTTAAAATAAATTAATGTGTTCATTTATCATTAAAAAACATGCCCAATGAACTAACTGGAGGAACTAAAAATCATCTATCTTCAATTAATTTTTTTAAACAATTATTGATATTCCCTACAGTTATTATGGTTCTATTTCCGCTAAACCCGCTAATATATCAGTGTTACCAATAACTTTCTTCTCGTCTATCAAGAAATGCCCCAATGGTCAGAACAATCTCGTTTCTGGAGAAATTAAAAAGTCTGCGAAGCATGCATTCAACTACGTTTGACGTCTAATGAAACGTTGGCGTCCAGTTAAAGTTTATTCCATCCACGTTTTCAGCACCTACAACTATAAAATGAACTTCGCCAACCAGAGTTAATATTTAGTAAACTGATTAAACAAAACGAAAGAGTAACATACGGACTACCTGGAGTATAACGTGGAGAATATGCAAACGAGGTTTTGACGCTAAATTTCTTTCGTCACGATATAAAAGAAGACACATTATGATCCCTTTCGATTAATTATTCTTACGACAAATTGCATTAAATTCAAAGGTCAACGATGAGGCATTGACCATTTACAGCGACGCTCTTAACTGATAATAATATATAAATCCATTGTCGCCTTTTATAAATTTACATGAAAAATATAAAAATATATACCACTGAAACATTGGACATGTCTGAGCAGTAACTAGAGCCGACACCTGTCTGGATACTGCTCTCTTCGGCCTGATGATCTTCGGGTCAACTTTATCTCAAATTGTATTTTATGAAATGAAAACATTAAATACTTAATACATTCTTCTATAAATATTAGCACCCTGCATGCCCCGAGGATATATACAGTATGAGCAAGGCAGGTAAATAGAGGAAACTTATGCTTTGGCTAATTCTCAATAGGGCGAGTTTCAGATATATCGTGGGATGTTAGGTGCTTTATGGTGAGGTTTGTAACAGCCTCCCAGATTTAAAATAAGCAACAAAAGGTGATGGAATAATTTTTAGGGAAAAAACCCTTGTTTGGTAAGTATCCCTCATTTAAAATGTCTGATCATTAGAGAGAACAACAAAAGAACTATGGCGTTAAGGATATTCCAAGCCTTGTAACCCGGTCATAAGCTCCAAAAGTATAGTTGCTGACCTTTGGGATGTCATATCTGACTGTCCCAGCCTAGGTCACCAAAAGAAAACAGGTTATCTGATGAAGTACTCTCGAGTGCTTCAGCGATTTTTTCGTAACCTTACGAGCATTTTCACGAAAGTTTGCTGGTTATGATACATGTTTCCTCATTAAAACCGATAAAGTGGCACACTGAAGGATGCAGAACCTCTCAATTGGTTTGTAATGTAGTCCATGAATGTGCTGACATAAAAATCTATGCAGTAGCCGTTTCTCCTCTGTCTATTGATTTACAAATTTAGAAATATTGGTACAGGTATGTAACAACTGATACAGTACAAAATAAATTACGATTAAAGATCTTTACATCTTAAAAAAATTTTAACAGTTAACTAATGGTAATGATCGCCGCACCGCTCTGAAAGTAAAATATTTGATTAAATACTACCTAATGGAAGACACTAATTTGCTCCGTCTATGAGAATGTTGACTTGAAGGGCCAGGACCTGAAATAACGAGAAAAGAGTGTATTAGAAATGCCAACTGCAAAATCTTAATTGGTGCTTCTTATGTTTGGCACCTTAGTCGAGTTTTCGGTTAAGGAAGAAAATTTCTGAAATTATTTATCGTTAGAAACTGATACTTCTCATAACATGGTTTTCAGGAAGAATCTGATCAATTTCCAGTGTCTTGGAGCACAATCTCCTGGTAACAGAGTGGTTTAAAATCCAACAAACTGATTAAATCTGATGGTTTCCCTATCCAAAAGCAGGAAAAAGGAACCAAAGCAACAAACTGTATGTGATAGTTAAGGGAAAATAGGCCTGCGGGAGCTTATAAAAGATAAAACAATGAACTCACTCTTAAAGCCTTCGTACTCCTCGTCACTGACGGGGGAAATTTCTCGCCCATCATATTGGTGACTACTAGATGACGTAAGCGCCGACGCATTTGCTTCAGTAGCAGGGTGAGTGCCTATTGGCATGCTCACACCAGTGATTCCCGTCAGGGGGCTGTGTGCGTGTCTCATTTGACCTCGAGAGTACATTCCTTGCATTAAATGAGTCCCACTGGGGGTAGATAAGCGTCGATGCGGTGTGTCATTCTGTAACAAGAAAAGGAAAAGATGAACATGACGGTCCCACTACTAACTTATACACTGGCTGAAACCACATTAATTGCTGATTACAATTTCCCTTGAGGAAGGCTTCTGCAGGTGGTATTATTGATTATTAATTGAGAATTGTTTACAGCCTCAAGCTAACATCTCAATCAAACTTACTCTCAATGAATGTGTTGCTATTGATGTATTTGGCCTTGACGACTCTGTAACATTCCTTGCTCTCTCTTTAAAAGATTGCCTTGAAAAGTGGAAAAGAACTGTAAGGACAAATTACTCCTTTAGAAGATAAATTAGTTCACCTTAAGAAATGTGACTAGAGTAGCAAGACGCAAAAAATGATGCAGAGCTGTCACAAAAAGATCAATTATCACGAGGAAAACAGACGAGCTCTGCATCCACTACATGTAACAATTATTCTCTCAGATACTGATGTATTACCTAGAATCATCTGTTGCGGCACTTGATGCACGTGACTGGCGGAACGAAACTTGTTTCTGAAAGAAAACGATCCACTACTTAGGAAATCCCTACATGATGTCACATTCACTTGGAAAATGCGATAAAATAACATAGAAATAAATTACTTACCGCGCTATTTCTTCCTCCGTTATGTTGAACAGGCGTCTCTCTGCTACTAAAACCATCTATCGGAGGGAGAACGAAGTTTCTTCCCCTAAAGAAAAAAAATGAGTTAAACTTTTTCGTATATTTCGTGACAATTGGTGTATGGTCACGCGTTCTCGTTTAGTAGAAACTAGTTCTTTATCATCAGTACAATGTAACACTCTTACCGATACACCTCTCACCGATAACACTCCAAATGCCAAAGGTGTGGGACGTATCTGATTCTATACCTGAAGGCCTTTTTTATGAGAAATTACAATAATTTGTTTTGCTTTATCTTCTTGTGACTCATGACCGTAGACGGTGTACATCGGCGCAGTTAATATCATTTAAATGTGTAAAGAAAGTCTCATCAACAGCTTGCAAACTAATCATCCGCCCACTTACATGTAAGGCGCAGGAGAATTTGAATTCGTGGCTTGAGGCGGAGATGACAGTCTTTCTTTCTCTGGAAATCTGAAAAAAAGGACAGTATGAGTTCGATATTCGAGCCTCTTCCTTAGGGCCGATTCATGAGATCAAACGTTATAATTCTTAAGGAAAAAAAAAACCTCGCATACAAACAAACTTACAATTTCCTTCCTTGCACGATACCGCCCATGACATCATCCTAAAAGGAACAAAAACATCAATAGAAAATTAACATCATCTAACAAGCCAAAACAACATCAATAACGGATATAAAATGGACAAGGATAACCTGAGCTAAAGTTCAAGTGTTAATTTTTAACATGAAAGGGTCAGAAATAGTAGACATCGTTTGCTCAAAACCCTCCTTAAAGAAATATAATCTATAGTGTACAGAACATATCTCAAAATAACCGTAATCAATATATTTTTTTTTAATAAACACACTTTGTGTGTATCAAATGTCATCGATCTATTAATTACTTAATGGAATTTATTTATTTCCTTGTTTGTTTTGTATTCATTTGCAAGTATTTATTCATTCTTTGTTTCAAGTTTAACTCATGCATTGATTGATATCGAGAAGGGTATTAGGAGTAGGTTCATTAGAACGAGGAGAAGGGAGGGGGGGGGCGCAATTCACTATTAAGACGGAACACTACATGTGCGGTGCTCTCAGGCATCATTGCGGTACTTATTTCATGTATTGTCTAACATGCATTTGTGGGTACGTACCTGGACGCTGGGTGTTTTAGGTTTACTGCTGTCCGGATGGGTCAAGCGTAGTATACTTGGTAAGTTCCTGAAAGGAAAAACAATTTTATACTTATGGAAAAGTTTGCAAACAAGAGAAACAACAATCCGTGCTGAAAAGTCTTTAAATCCCAAACTGTGTCATAAAAGAATGAACATTTTCCTCTGAAGTTCTTCCTATAACTGTGTCTTTGTTGAATACAATTAGGAACACTAGGAACACATCAGATCTGCTACTTCAATTCAGTCGTTTATGTGATCTTCACGCAATTGAACAGAGAAGAAACCCTACTTTATAATCCGTTGATTTTTGGAAGGTTTCTGTTAATTCAACTAAAATTTGTCTTTCTTGATTTTTGATTTGTTCGTTTATTTTCTATGAGTAGGCATTCTAGTTCCACCTCTCAACCTCCTACTTCCACACCTCTGACTTTTCGAGCCCCATGTTTGAGGTAAGACAACATGAATCACCTAACGAAGAATGCCTTCGTTTTAAACGAACATGCCATGATTTTATCAGACAAACCTATTTCTCTTAAATGGCATCATCTTGTGCATGAATGGATCTGAACTGTGCTGACTGATCCGTGTAGAACGTGAAATCACTGTGCTGCTGGACCCTGGCCGGCCCTTTGAATAATAAAAGCAACCTTTAATTGATTTCCCGACAATTAATATCATGTATATTTGCAACATATACTGTAGGTTAGAGGATTGCATGACAGGAAATCATACGTTTTCAACATCGATTTTATACTAGCTACCAGAAACATACCACATTTATGTATATAAATACATTTTACTTTCATACCTCCAAGAAAAAAAATCAACAAGCACAGTTTTACCATTTGGCCAACAAGAATTAAAAAGTAAAGACGGAATATCAGACAAACCGGATTAAAGGGGGTCCCTTCTCTGCTGTCAAGGGCACTGCAAATATGGAATAGAGATTCACTTTAAAGAGTAATTTTCTTTAAATAGTGATCCTGTAAGTTACAACAGAAGCTACTACATTGTACATGTTGAAAACATCAAATTCAAACTGCCTGTGACGTGTAAGCTATCTCTTCCTTAAATCACCATGCAGTATACACACAGAATTTCCTTGTTATGGACAAATATGTACATATGCGTGTATCACTCATTACTTACTGAGAGGTGCTTGCAGAAGGAGCCCTTGGATTTAAAGGCATTGGTCGCACCTTCATTGCATGAATTAAACTACTTTGATCGGGTGGGGGATTGAAACTTGAAAATGTCTTTAGTCTTGACTGCAGAAAAAAAAATGTTCATAAGGAGAATCAATACATGTATGTGATATTAAGAAGTACAATAAAAAGTACAAGGAATAAAGCACAAAGAGTTAGAAAAAGGCCATACAACCATTGAAGTACAATGAGGGATTTACTCCCGCTCACCTGGGAGGAAAAGTGATTCCTTGACATAACACTTTGGGAAAATGGCCGAAGTGGGCTCTCAATGGCACGATCAGAAGAAACCACCACATCAGCAAGAAACTGTGGTTTGTCTGTAAAGGTGCATAAAAAAGGCCCAGTGATTTAGTGTGGACACCTCAGACAGAAATACAAAAACACAATGATAAAAGATTTATCAAAAACAATTCTTGAATACAGAAAGCATGACATACTTTCATGAACCAATGAGAGCATGCTTCTTACATGTACCCCTACATGCACTACATGTAGGTCTGCAGTATTTGTTTCCCAATCTCAATTCTGTTGTAACTCTAAACTGTAATTTAGATTTGTTGTTAACATTTGCTTAAAGCTAAACAGCTAAAATTTAAAAACAGTTTCACAAGTCTTATAAAACAAAAACTTCCAATGATACACTACTGAGCAGAGGTGCTATAGGTGAATAAAACAAACTACATTATTTAACACTTAATATACCATACCTCTTAGCACTTTCTGTGAGTAGAGACTTAACAAACTTCTTAGCCATAAAACCACCTAAAACAGTAATAAAATCAACATTGACACAATTCAATAAAAAACTGTGATTAATTATTGAGGGCAGTCTTCTGCTGAAGAACATGTGAGTTTCAAAAGGACATTACCTGAATTCAAAAAAATAAGAATTACGGTGTACATGACAATAAAACTTAAGGAAAGTGAAGGGCCAGGATGTTTGAATCATGGCTGGTAATAATTTGTACTAAGCTTTCATTTTTAATGAGCTTTTAAATTATCCCACCTTGCTTTTAAAAACCTGTAACTACTGCATTTCAATTCTTATGAAGATGCCAAAATATTTATTGGGTTACTTCCAAGAAATATACAGATCTTATATGTACAAATTGTGTTCAAGTGTTCTGATTTGACTCTAAATCATGATGGGGAATGTCAGCTCACCTCTCCCCAAACTTGGTCAAACATCTGGCTGACAACAGTATCCTTAGCACAAGCATTGGGGGTCACAGGGGGGTAACCTCGTCGCTGCTGACGGCGATACCTCATACCAGTTCTGGCTTCTGTTCCCTCTTCCTCTCTACAGTGCAAAATAAGTACATATAATTAAAATAACCAATAAGTTTCAGACTACTGTTAAAAATGAAACAAAAAAAACAAAGAGTAAGAAAAGTATAAAATGTATAATTATTTAGGGTAAATCTTTATTTTATAGCAATTTGTCTACCATGCATCAAATATTTTACTGTATAATTCATCACTCCTGTAGTTGTAATAGTTTCATTTGGCGCAGCAAATAAACAGAGTTTACCCTTTCAAGTATTGTGCATCATAACATTTGTTTGCTTTTGATGACAGGAAATATAATGTCAGCATGTACATGACTTGCAAGCTTTGCCAATTATGATTATTGTCAATAACCATGTTGAAACTTACATAGCAGGTTGGTCATAACCAAAATATTCTTCTACTTCACCATCTTCTGCCAAGATCTCTTCTTCAAACTCTGAATAGAACCCATTCATTTCATCAGCTGTAAGAATAACCAGAGGCATAATGTATCACATCACCTTGGCGTTATATGGTATGCTGAGCATGCACAATGTATACATTATGTGGATGTATACTTGGTTAGGTGAACTTTCCATGCAATGGATAAAAGAATCATGTTTTTGGAGAATTATACCAACTGTTGTATATATTACAATGTACATTACTGTCAATATTTAAAAATGCATACAGCCTGCAGAGTTTGTGGGCCTTTATCTGTCTATGTTTGTTTGCTTCAATTTCTTTATAATCTTAATTTCTCAGATTAAGATTCTAATGAATACCAGACAAAAGGAAAAGACAATCATTTGGTAGAAATAATTATCTTGATCTTAATGACATTGAGCCCAACAGACAACTACAAGTTTAAAATAACAGTACATGCACATGGTTGAGAGGACTTCAGATATCACATGTACAACCTGCTGCCATTATATACTACTGGTCACCAATTGCAAAAAATCTCGGCATGTAACACAAATTACAAAATCTAAAAGTAATCCAAAAGTGCATCCAGTCTGCTCAAAGTAACAAACAGCAATTTACATGTAGTTAACAACCACTAATTCTGTCCCTTAGAAGCAACACATACATATACATGCAGAGCATCTTAAAAGGTTATAATTGAGGTAAATCTAAAAATATAGCAGTGCTACACCAAATACATTACATTACCACATTAATACCTGTATTATAGGGTACATTTTACAATTTTCTACAGTACATTGTATACAAAATTTTTGTATAATTGTAAAATGTACCCTATAATACACGTCAGGTAAATCTGCTTTTGCTACATCATTCTATAAAATAATTATTATGTGTCGTGTACATATAATTTGCCCTACTGGACTTCCACATGTACACATGTTCACTGTGCCCATCATTTCTAATATTTTTGCAATCTATTAGAGTTACTTAATAGGGTACAACAAATTATTGAAATACAATTGTTCTTACCATTCATGTAAGACTCTGAAGGCTCTGGCAATGGATCAAGATGAAATCCTTGAATGCATAAACTAGAAGCAAAAGGATAATGATCTATTTTTAAATTACTTTCTAATTAAAGAAGACTCAGATAAGACTGAACCCATATATACGAATAACAAAAATACATGTTATTCACCCACCCAGTACAGGCAGACCTCCTTAAAAGGAACAGACCTGTTCATTTTATGCCATGGAACCAAACACCTCTTTTCTAGTTTGTGGTGAACTATGTGTATATATGTCAAATCAAAGTTACCCTTGTGAATCAAAAGCACCAAATTCCTCCACATCTTCAAGAAAAGATGTCTGTGGTCGCTGGTTGTCTATCCTTGGCTCTCCAGCTGGAAATGGAATCAATTGAGTACCATCGTCCTTGGGATTGAGCAATTGATAACCACAGATTCTGCAGGGAAATGAAGGAGACCCCTCAAATAAAGTGTCATACTATGTAAGAAGCAAAGAAAACCGCTCATTGACTATAGCATGTTACAGCTTGAGAAAGGTACAAGACATCCAAGATATTCAACTGCCTCAAAGCCTACCTACATCAATAAAATGGTTGTTCTTGTTCTCACTTGAGCGTGATTTCATTTACAAGTTAACATGCATGTTTTATTTCATTTTTTTAACCTGAGGTGCAAAAATAAGGCTGATTCTTTGTGTAATGATTTATCTTTTTTAACAATCTGCCTTTACCAGGTGATGATGTAGTCAAGTTGCATTGAGATAGCTGGAAAGTGATCTCAGAGACTCACGACTTTTTCTCTCTCACACATAAACTCGGCGAATGCGGTGAGCAGATAACAATTAACACCTACTAGTATAAAAATCCTGTGCTGCATTCTTAACTAGCTGGATTCACATGTTGATAAATGTAATTTAATGTTGCATTAATCTTTGCCCACATTTTCCAACTCAACTCAAAGTAATATGGTGATGGCAGACAAAAGATATCACTGTCACAGCCATCTACTGCCGTAACACTTATTTTTAAGAACAAAGCGCAATGAATTAGCTTGGTGCATTTTTGCAAAAGCTTGAGAGTATGAGCATTATTCTTTTATCATAGGGGTACTTAATGAAAATTTCACAAATTGTATAAAAGGCATAATACATGTACTTTAAGGAATATTTTACATGTAAAAGAAATTGATAGTTAGTGGAAAAGCTCACAGGTTTACTGATCTACATACAGGGGTCTAATTAAACCAATAATTCAATGAGGCTGACAAAATTGTATACAAGTTCATACAAATTATTGATCATCAGCAGAGAAAGTCATTTTCTAGTGATGGGATTTACTAATGGAAATTCAGTGCATTTTGCTGTATTTTTTATTATATTTTTTATTATCCTTTGTTGTCATGTAAACTGCCAATTTAATCATTGTTTCAGGAAACATTTCAAACTTAACTTGCTGATAATAATTAAAATAAAATAAAAGGCTAATTGCACGAAAGCATACATTTCCCCTCCCTTATTAACTGGGAAAATGAAACATGGAAGCATGTTAACAATCAATTATGAACAAAATACATACCGCAGATGTGGAAATCGCTTGAACCATTCTTCACATTCAGACAACAGTTGAGGGCTTCCTGTCATGAACAAATCATCAAAGATTATTAATAACAGAGCTGGTAACTTTGGGTGATCAGATTCAATTTTCCTGCATGCTTCATAAGTTCCCTCGGTGCATTCTGATTGAGACATGCACAGAATACATACTGATGCATAGAAGAGGGAATTTTTCTTCAAACAACATTTAAACTTAACCTGCCCTTGACACAAGTCAAACAAATAAGTTTGTTAAGTTTGATCTTCTTATTGGCCATTTGAATACTCTTGTCATTTTAATAGTAACTGAAATCATCTGTGCATATGGCAAAGAAGGGTAACATTTATAATGGAAATTAACTGTTTTATCTCAAGTGGGAAAAAAGTTAATGAATATAGATGTGTATCAATGATATACACTCATCTGTAATTAAAAACAGTATTCTTGACAGTTTATGTTGAATACATGTATTAATTAAAATTGTCACTAACCATTGAAATGCATTCCTTCAAACAGCATTCCATCAATTTCATCAAACATCCGTTTCACTGTTGCTGAAGCCTGTCTATCGAACTCCTTGATGATAAAGTAATACACAATATACATGTTTGGTTCTCAAAAGTCTCAGAACAAATATTACTCAAACACTTTTCCAGGAACTGTGAAAGACCTGGCTTTTATACAGTACAAAATAAACACATTAGCTACGTTACAAGTTGTAAATTACAAACTCACATCCTCATTTCCCCAAGAGTATACACTGCTTCTTCCAGTAAGGATCCCTGTATTTGTCGACCATGTGTTTGACTCAAAAAGTCCATTACCAATACTTGGAGTATTGTCAGTAGTGGGTGATGATTGACCACTGGTGTCAGGGGTGATGTTAGTGAAGTTGCTGCTGTGAATTCTCTCAAAATAGGACAAAGGCAAGGATTCCTCTGGTCTCTCAGGGAGAGGATGGAGAGCATCCACACTACTGTGAGAAAATCCACGGCTAGCAATAGAGATAAAAATAAAGAATATGTTGAATATAGAAGAAAATTTAAGAAAGGTTTTTTATGAATCACATACATGAAGGTCAGTAAAGGAAGTATAATTATATTAAGTCAGCTGTTACAAGCACAACAATATAGCATAAAAAGGGATTGTGGTAATAGCGGAGCTCGCAGAGCGTAGCCCCATAATTATACAAAATAGTAGTAACCCATCAAGCCAAAAAAATTTGGATATATGACTGTATGACTGTACAACTGTACGGCCGTACAACTGTATGACCGTACAAGGTGCTACTCTTAACATGCAAGGTCAAATGTACCGTGGGCACGCCAATGCCACGGCTTTGTTCAGTAGTCTGGTGGTTAGTGCACTTGGCTCCAATTTGGACGACCCAAAAAAAATGCGAGCTCTGCTTTTAGGCTTGGCTAAATCTATATAATTATTATACAGCAATGTAAAGGAAGATGACAATCAAACCATGGTAAAAGCACATATTGAAGCTCTTTTTCCAAAACCACCATGTTTCAATCTGGGCTAAACAGTTGGCCACAAAAATTATCTGAAGTTCTTTTTGCCTTGAAGTCTACAATTGGATTCACTTTTTTCTAAATTATCTTACCAATTCAGAACCATTAAACAATAAATTTTATCTTAAATTTTTGGTGCTGGGAAAGAAATAGAGCTTCAATTTAATTAACATATTCACTTGACACCTATTTTCCTGTGAATTGACTTTTCAGACAAAAATCATTTAATAATAGTAAGAACAAAGCTGGTTCATAGATCTTTAAAATCTAGTCATATCCCTTATTCTATGGTTAGATTTTGAGGTAAAAACTTGCTGTTATGGACATTACACAATTTTTGTTGCAGACATTACACTGGAAAACTTTTTTTTACACCAGTAAGAATAAGGTAATGTTTTTGTTTATTTATCAACTTCTGATAATTAATTTTGTCAGAACTGATAAAGGTATTCTTAATCAGGCTTAATTACAAGTTAATCCTCTTTTCTGGTTGTACTGATAACCATAACATTAAATTAAATACTACAGTTTGTGTGTACATGTGATTGTGGTCTGCAGAGTATCCCCTATAGAGCATGCTTCTCACCATTCAATTTTATTGAGAAAGCTCTAACTAGTATTTCTGCTGTCGTTTGCTTCTTGCTTTCTGAGATACAGTGCAGATTAGATTTCTAGTATGAGACCAAGTTTTATTTTATATTGTCCACAAGAAAAGTCTTCTATGGCTCTATAGAGCTAAAGACATTAGACCTTTCAATGTTCCAAGTCTTTCATATATTGAGAGGCTGTTTAACTATTTTCAAAAAGAAAATGTTTTCAGATAAATAGTCAAACTAACTGCAGATTGCAGTACTTAAACATTGCTTTAATTTCTGAACTTGGATTGTACTGAACTCCTTGTCAGAGTACTATTCATTGAATCTTAATAAGCTAGTTGACACTATTTTGGAAAGTTACACTGCACAGAACAGTATGAATTGGCAATTTCCTCCGTAGTACGAGGACAGTCATTATCACTGCAATGACCTTTGAAAGTTGAAGTATTGTTTGTTTTAAACTACATTTTTGAAACATTTTTTAATTTATAATCTTCAGATATTTTAAAAGAAGGTACTGACTATTAACATGATATGTCTTTCAGTAAACTTGTTTCACAAATGGACATAAACTTTTTGAAAATGTATACTCCTCATGTCACCATGGTGTTGCAACTGTTAATGTACAGTTGTTGTTATGGTTATCATTATAAGTGTTTAGTTAAAAGCACTGTAAACTTGGATGTGATAAATTTGAACAAAATTGGTTTGCATAAAGCATTTATTCCTTCCAAAAGAATTACAAGAATAAAAGTCATTCAGTCATAACATCCATAATGTAATTTTCATAATGTTATATCTGCAATGTAATGTCTGTAACATAATGTCTGTAAGGCCCGGTTCATACGTCGCACTTCTGCCGTGTCGAATTCAATTCAATTAAGTGCGACAGAAATGCGACAGCTGATTCATACGTTGAATTTCTACCGAATTTAATTCTTTGAATTGATACTGCGGTGCAGGTCCGTCAGCGGAAAAATGTTACATTGGTTACGTAACTAGACGTAACTATCTAATATGGCGGACGAAGATACTAAACGGAGGCTCTTTATTTTTCAAAAAGTTTTTGAAGGAAGGCGAAGGAGGAGGCTGACAATGCAACAGTATATGCTGCATCGTCTTCAGGAAAAGCATAGACTAATAATTCAACTTTTGCTGTTGATTGTTCTCATTTTGTCTCATCAAAATGCAACACAAGTTTATCGATCCTGTCGGCGACGTGACAATCTCGCCATTGCGCTTTTCTGCCTCGTCTCTTTTTATTCGGCAGGGCCAAATTTTCATTGTCAGACAAAGAAAAAGAGTTTTCTTCTTCTGAATCTGAAGTCTCTTCCCTTCGTGACGCCATCTTTTTATAGCTAGCCTCAGTCTACGCATGCTCAATACATTAACATAATGTATGAATTAAATTCGACACGGCAGAAATTCGACGTTTGAATCGGTGTCGCATTTCTGTCGGATAATGCGACAAGACTAGTCGAACGTGCGGCAGAAATGCGGCAGCCGATTCAGACGTCGAATTTCTGCCGAATTTAATTCGTTGAATTGAATTCGACACGGCAGAAATGCGACGTATGAACCGGGCCTAAGACAAAGTAGGCTTTATTTTTTCTGGCGTTTTTCCAGGATTTTGATAATTCACAGCACTTAAGTTTGGGCCCCTAATAACGGAAAAAGGTGCAAGGCTTACAAAAAAATGGTTTTATTTTCAGAGAAAACAAAGAAAAAAAATGTTAATGTTACAGACATTATATAGTGTCTGTAACAAAATTGTTACTTGCTCTTATTTACAAAGTAAATCCATTTTGGAAAAAATCTTATCAGCAAGTTTACCTTTGTGTTGAGTTCAATTAGTTTTGTTCCCTTGGTGAGATTTTGCGAATAAAAATGTCTCCCTAAAATCATTTTAAATCTTACAGCATGCCATCTATTTCCACACACTTTTCATCATACAAAAATAATCAGCCTCTCTTTGTCATTTCCCACAAACTCAACTTTCAGATTACTATCTTTAAAATAATTTAGCCTCCTCACTCCAAAAATCCATCATTGGGCTAGATATGAAATATTTTAAATTTCACCATTTAAGCAGTTCTAAATTATGGAATGGTCCTAATATTAATCCTGGAATCTGAAAATGTCATTTCAAAATAAAAATCAAGTCTACTAGAGTCTACAGTAACACAAAGCACAGCAGTACTGCACGTAAAATTATACCATTTCAGTATACCAACAAACATACGTGTAAACCCCATTTGAGCAGGACAGTATAATGGACATTTAATCCAGAGGAGAAAGCTTGTAAACTTTGTTTTACGAATATTGAAATCTTTGATTAATCTCTGCTTTTCAAGACGCTCAGTATGAAATAACAAATCCTTCAATATTTCCGTACTTCTTACTCTACATGCACTAAGATCTATAATAAATGTAGCACTTAAAACGCGCATATATTCATTTGCATGCTTGTCTTAAAAAAATGTTTTGTGTACTAGTACACACAAAGTGCGTAGTAGCCGGAGAACTAAGGGTCAAAAAGATAATTTAGTCGGCGAATTTGTCTGTCTGCTAATTGATAGGCAATTAATAGATAATCGTTGAGCAATTGGTCGCCAAAATCACGGCAAATTTTCACCCAGCTCCATCATTTTGTGTTCGACGATTAAAGCAATTTTCATTGAGTGCTGTAGATTTAGTCATGGTTTGACTTCACAGATACTCATATCGTAATAATTAAACTCACATCTCAAGAGGATGGGTCCTATTCGTCATTTCTGCATTGTGCGAGAAATGCAAAATTCCACTCCGTTCGGAGCTGCAGAACACAGCACGTCCATGACAACAAAGCTTGCAACGAGATTGTGTCCCTCATCTCGTCCAGATCCACTCTTTCATTGCTTTTTTTAATCTTTATCTATTTTCATGTAGGCCCTTAGAACTTCCGACGTGAAGTCAATCGCTCAGATCACGCTTAATACTGAAAATCTTGACTCAATTTCCGATATTGACTCTTACAAAAGTTCCCAAAACAACAAAATTAAGCCGAGTTACAAATTTCCCAGTAGACTATGCGCGGGTTAAGTGGTCGAGTGGTTACAAAGCGCACCTCTACCCAGGTCTCCCCCTGCCGATTTTCTTATTGAGCTTACACAGAGTGATCAACAAAGTGCCTTAAAATTGAGAATTCCCGATACCAATTAGCGGAATATAAGGTGGCAAAAGGTAATTCTAAGCTTAAAAATTTAAAAAATGTCTAAAAGCGAGAGTCAAAAGCAATCGTTTTAAATTGCTGCGTAAACAATTGTCACGCAATACCCATCAGCAGTTCAGGAGTGCAAAACAAATGATAATGAACAAAAATAAACCAAGATCAAAGAAGTTGCCGAGTCAGAACTAACTTGAAATTTCAACTGTGTAATTCAATGAAAAGACTGTTAGTTTCATTTTAAACATCAGAGAGGTAAGCTCAGACATCTGACTTTCCAAAATTGATTAAACAGATGAAACTCATCAGTTTCCAAAGCTTCCAGACGAACTGATAAACATACATTAAAAGGAATGAAAGAAAAGCCGAAACAGCCCATTGTTTTCTTAAATCACAAGTTGAGGTGAGATCTGAATAAAGGGGTAAGTTTCTAAAGAAACTGTGGTGCTGTGTCGGTGGGAGAGTATAGCAGGTAATTTAGTGTTAACAACTGAGTTGAAAAGGTAAATTAGTCACCGCAAAGGGTAAAAAAGCTGACGTCTCGAGCGTTAGCCCTTCGTCTGATGAAAGACTAACGCTCGAAACGTCCGCTTTTTTACCCTTTACGGTGGCTAATTTACGTTTTCAACTCAGTTGTTAACACTAAATTACTTGAGGTGAGACCGTCTATCTCTATACGACAAATGAATGAGGGGGTCAGTTCCTAAACAACTGTGGTGTCACAGTCATTCGCTCCTACGAAGGGCTAACGCTCAAAACGCCGGGGGTCAGCTTTAGAAACTTTTAACAGTGACCTTAGTCGTTGAATAAAGGCTGATGTTGAAAACATATTACAGCAGTTTAAAAAATCGTGAAAAATAAAATACGAATATATCGAAAAGATCTGAATCCCATCTAATTTAAGATCGCATTCTCGGTCAACTTTATCAGAACCTAACATTCGCTGCCGAACTCGACAGAATGCTCGGTTCGTATACAGTATCTCACAAGTGTTCTCTAGAATGCGGTTCTGTTTTAAATTAAAGTTTACAACGCTCGATTTATAGCTTGAAACAAATTAAAAATTAAGTCTATACATTTTAAGAAAAACCTTAGTGGGGAAATATGTATCGACCGGTTCAAAGCGTGCAGAAGTCGTCATAAAAATTGTCCTGTTCGAATTTAGAGTTAGTATTCATTTGCGGCACGATTCATAACACTAAGTATCGTTATAGGCTCCGCTGAATACAGAAAAACAAGTTGGTATAGCCATGGTAACATTAGACTGTTAACTTGTTACGCGAGTCGTATAGCAACGACCGCAACAAACTTGTTTGAAAATCGTTAATAATTTATTACAGAAACAAAGACAGCTCTCTTTTCGAACTGACGCATTGATAGATTGCCTAAGATCCAAAGAATGGGTCAAGCTGAGGAAACAGAATAATGGGAAATTAGCTTTTTTATAAATGAAATCGCACGCGATGATCAGTTTTTTATCGCATTGCTTTTGCGACTTTGTGGAACCACATGTTAAATATCTAAACCTTAGATAATTCTTGCTTAAATTTTCAATATCCAACCGAGTTTTTTTTTAATTAATATTGTGTACCCTGGGCACTTTACAAGATATCTCCGGTAATTGCTCCATATAATTGGTGGAAAAGCGAATGCCATGTCATCTAGATACTCTTCAATTTAAATTTTCACTCTGGCTTCCGACCGAAATGAAGTAATTTTTTTTTCTTCTTTTTGGCTCGGTTTAGGAGTTATCCCAACGTGAGAGTTCCAAATAATTTCAATGAATTTCTAATAATTTCGTCAAAGATTTGACCATATTTGTTTTTTATTTCTAAAAAGTTTACTTTCGATCCTAGAATCATAGACTGACGCCTTCATTCATATTTTCTCGATTCTATATTGAGGTGATCTTTTGCTTCAGTAATTGAAGCAGATAACAGGGGAAATATACTGCCGCTGAGATCTAAAGGAAAAAATTCTCGTCGTTGTATTTGCCCACCGCTAAGAATAATGACATGCAAAAACTATTAACGGGAAAGTTGAATTCTAATATATGCATCAACTGAATAGAATTTAATTGCAAAAACTCGAGATTATAAAGCGAAAGTAAGTCTTATAATATTCTGTCATATTAAGTCTATTTTACAGGCAAACTCTGGCCACGATTTCATTTCCTATCTTTGCATCTGTTTGACTTTATGTCACTGTGTTGTTGAAAAGCCATATGCCAAGTTATTTTACTCAATCGACACATTATTCTTAAAAAGGAGCCTACAGCATGCGAGCGTTAACACCGTAAATTGAAAATCGAAATGGCCTTACTTTTTCCTCCATTATTTGACTCTAGGCGGCGCTAAACTGACAGTTAAGCGAAGAACTGATTTGAGGCATACAACTAACTAACGCTCAATGTTCGGAAATATCCAATAGAAAATAAACAGTACAGGACAGAATAGGCCAAAAAAGCAAACACAGCTATCGTAACTTATACAATGTGATCACCAGAGCAAGGCGAATAAAAAAATAGGGCCAATTTTCATCTAAGGCTTTTTATGTTGGATCATAAGTGCACTTAAGAAAACATGCCGGGAGCCTCTCTTATAGAGATCTTTGCTAAGCAACATAAATCACGCGAAATCACTCTCAACGGAAGAGAATGATATCCCACCTCTCCTCTCAAACGTGTGAGGCAAAGGAGATAATAAATGCACGGTCTTCGAACGGTATATTGATTTTATATGTCAAGCCTGTCTGTTTTGATGTTAGTATTTCCTGATTGTTAGTTATCATTTGGCGAAACAGGCATCACAGAGATATTTCGTTCATTATACAAACTTTGAAAGAAAAATTACAAGTGTTGTCGGACGGAGTGAAAAAATATCCAGATCTCAACCTGGTTTTGAAATCTCACACTTTCGAAGCGGAACACTCTAGAAGTTTCTCCAACGCTTCCTAATTCAATATACTATTTCCGTTCGATTTAAATACTGAAAATTTCGAGTACGATTTTAGGTTGACGACCGTAAGTGTCACCTTCTGTAATTACAATTTCCTTTCGTAGTATTTTGAGCGATCTTTCGGGACCTTTATCGAAGCACATTTTGGTTTGAAATTACTGTAAATAATGCTTAACAACACTTACCCCCTTAAGATGAACGAAATTTCTTTAGGTGTTTCGCGTCTCTTCGAGCGAATCACCGCCGGGAGGTACATGAAATCTCCCAAGAGCGTCATGAGCTTTGAAATCCATTCGATAGTATTCAATTCTTAGCAGAATTTTCTACGACTAGCGTTGTTTTGACTGTCTCTACTCCCGCGTGGTTGTGTTTCCTAGCGCCACTCATCACACATGCCGCGCGCCGCTTATTTTCGTTATTCTTTATAAAATGCACATTTTCAATTGTGCTTCCCGCCACGGGGCCCAAAACATACGGTCGCATCCGGGAGACTGCGCGAGAGGTAAACTAGCCCGGATGTGACGTGTGGATAAGATATTGAAAAGGAAAGAAATAGAAAGGTGTAATATCTCTTTCCATTGAAAAACCTCCTCTTCATGCTCAGTTGACAAGCTGTAACGGTGTTGCTTACAACAATAACGCACGCGATGGCAACACGCAATCACTCCGTTTGACGTAGTTTTAAGCATTCAGTCGTATGGCATACACAAAGTGCGGTTCTTTTTGTGTTTTTCTTTAACCTTTTTTGTTTTTAGAAAGGGAGACAAGCAACTGTCTAAGAGAGCAAGAAAAAGGTTTGCAGACAGCTTTTTTCCAATTACACAAACTAACAAAAACTACTTATGCTGCAGCTATCCATTAAAAAGGTACTGACAGGAGATGACAAATCGACCCAACCGATGCTTGAATTTTCCTGTTGTAATTAATATTCGCCTGGCATTTGTAGCATAAAAAGATTAATTGAAAAAAAAAACGTGTATTTTCACTTTTAATTATCTTCTAAAACTTTCTTCGTACTGTACCTTTTATACTCAGGCAAATCTCGACAAGAAATTCAGCTTCTTCGCTATATATATATATATGTATATTTTATTTTTCTAAAAGTAAAAAATCACTCATCCCTGACCCGTCAAACAATCTCTAAGGTTTGTTATTCTCAAACAAAGGACATTCTATAGTCGTCATTAAGATCGGCGATAACCGCATTCACTTCATTGCTTTGGCAACTAATTAGTGATGTTTTCGTACTTTTCAGCCCTTTCTTCAAAATAAAGTTGATAGATCGGTGCATGCTCTGCTGAGTATATTAGATACACATCTGAACATTAGCTTGATCGCGTAAATTCAAACTAGACAGGACGACCAAGACGTCATATTCTAAGTTTATTGTTGCCTCCCCGCCCCTTCCCCCTCAGATAAAAATAGTCTAAAATAAAAAAAAGTAAACCATTATCGCTAATGTCGACAGTACACTATTTTAAAAAGCAGGTGTTGTTATTCTTCACAAACCGCGTTCCTGAAAACCGCCAGCTCCGCTGGGATAAAACCTGACTAAAACACATTACCAACTATAATTAAAATTCAAATGATTCGGCGGAACCACGTCTATTGACGACTATGTATTTTTAGAAATCATCCTCTACAAATATGTCAACTTAACAAACTAATAAAATGACCCATCCCACGTAAGACACAAGTTTATTCGGACATTTTTAACATAAGAAAGCACATATTTAACAACCAGAGATTGGTACTTTTGTTCCGCGTGTTGTGGAAACTTAAAGTACTCGAACTCCATAAAAATTCTTACATGCAAACTTACTTAGCACCTGCAGTGGTAATCACACTTCCCTTTAAATGTTACATAATT